TGTGAGCCATTGACATCGCCAGGAAGGTCTGAATGAGACTGTTCATGAGACACTTCCAAGACCTGAGTCGCTTCCCACTGTGAATCCTCGACATCTGGCATGGTCTGGGCAACTTGATCAGGTAAGGCTCCCTGTCCACATGCACCAGTGGGCTCTGTAGAGCTAGTGACCATTTGTGACATCACAACATCCTCGCCATTCGCGACATCAGCGGACAGCATGATGCCTTGGCTATGTAACCGTAGTTAGGTATATTCACGCAAAGTGTGTGCAAATTCCAACACTAATTCAATCTGAGTACCAGCAGGGTGATATATGTACACAACTTCAAGGTCATCATCTTCTTCTGGAGTATCAGACTTGTGAATGCACGGCACCAAGATCTTCTTCTTTGGTCTGGCCTTTCTTTCGTTTTTCCGCATAACCCCTATCAGTTTTTGCGCGACCTGGATGCAAGCAAAAACCGTGTCACCATGTGATATGATGAATTCACAAATTTGTAAAATTTGTAAATATGACCTGGCCTCAGCCTTCGTGTGGCGCACAATGGCCTTTCTCCAATACCGGCGTGCAAACGATAAAATTGCATACAATGTGTATGCCTGCAGCAAAGTGATCAAACATACATATTTACACATGGTTGCACACTTTGTCAAATGCTTGCACACATGATATCAGCCTCGGATGAATACCAAAGGTGACGTTCTTTCTTCGTTTTGCGCTTGCTCAGGTTGTAGTCACTCTCGGCATCCAGTTTTTCGAAGATGTTCGTTAGAAAGGTGATGCTGTGCTCACCTCCCATAATCAATATCGCATTCCACATGCATGATCATGTATGACACATGGTTACTATAGCCGTTAATTTTGTAAGTTTGTGTCCTGCCTTCTGGTGAAAGCTGGTACATGCTTATGACAAGGTCTAAGTGACGCTCCAAGTCTTTCATGTTGACAAGCTGGTTATTTGGAATGTCAGGAAAGAGGGTGCGGTCAGCATCATTTGTAGCAGCAGCACAATTGAGAAATGCAGAGTGGGGTAGGTGTACTTTGATCATACCTGAGGTAGCAGGATCCATACATATGTGCCCAAACAAGCGTTCACAATGTATTGCATGCCTATATATGATTGCAAAACAAAACACTTGACAGAACCCTAAGTAAAAGTGCTGCGAGATGCAAGTAAACACATCATGCAAGGTTGTGATAAGCGGCTCACACATTGCATGTGTACATCCGTACAGTGCTTGCTTTGAGTGTCCTCGCCTCTCCGTATTGGCGGCCGGAAAGGCATCCAGCATGCTCATCGAGCTCGCTGCCCATGACGACAAAGACTTCGCGAAAAAAGAAACATGCAGTGGTGGCCAACCCGTGGTGGCGGTGGGATGACATGTTTGTTTTTCACATATATGGCATGACATGTCTTGAAGCATTGCACATCTCTCATCAGGGTTCACCTATATGTGTTCTTGAGCTGACCATGTTTGAACTTCAATGAACATCATATCTGATAGTGGCTGGACCTCTTCGGGCCCTCGACTTCCAAAGGCGAGGGCCCATGGGGCGTCCCTGAGATGCCAATGGCCCCAAGAACGTGCTAGCGACAGTCCCGGAACGTGACTAGCACACTCCAGTGATCGTTTGGGTACAACAAAAGGAACATCACAGGAGACTCACGATTCACCAAAATGGAACAGTGAAAGCTGTAAAAAAAGGAAAACAACACAAACAGAACAAAGGTGAACCGTCACGTGTTTTCAACTTTCCGGTAAACATATTTTGTTGGGAGTACTGGTACTGATTAAGTCTGCTCTGCTAGTGCATGGAAAAGAAGTTGACTCAGCCTCCCCAAGTTGAAACATGGACCTGCCATGCGCTGCGAATGAACACAACAATTCCGCCGTCAAGGTTCCTTTTCTCCACCCGCACCAATCGTTCATCTTCCACACAGTTGCTTGGCATGTTACCCCACGCGAGCAACCAAGTGCAGAACGAGAGATTGATGTTCCATCTTCCCTTCGGCGCTATGGGTCACAGCCTGGTTTGACTTCGCATCCAGTTTGTAGCACTCTCAATTAATTCCACTTCTTGACCTGCGGCTCGAACATTGGCTTTCTCTCATGATCAGGATAGGAAGGGGACGAGCCCGGGACGAGCTACTAAGATCAACAGTTCAAGTGCCAAAGCACGGTTTTACAGGCATGATATTCCACCGATAGTGATAGTGGATTGCAATGGTAAGGGGTGACAGCATATGCGACAAAGTTTTGCTCATGGTTCTGGCAATGGGTTGGGCCTCAAAATGCACACCCACAAAACAATTATATATCCACAACACTGCCTGTGGGGCAGCAACAAGCTTCGAAAAACGTGCCTTATATCCACCACCAAACTCACCAAACAGCTCGTGTCTGTTGAGCCTATTACATTATCAAGCATATGTTTTAAGCCATGTTCAGGATCCATCTTTTCATGGAGAATCTTCACGGCAAATCCCCAGCATATCCGACCTCTGAAACTGGCTGTTGGGGTTGGGGCACTGCCGTGGTCGCTCGTTTTCGGTGTCTCCCTGTCTAACATGGACACACACGGCTGCGCGCTCTAGCTCCCGAGTTACGGCTCGCACCAGCTCGGAAAAACGGATCAGCCTTTTGGACATTGATTTCCTCAAGCTTGGTGTCCATTTACAACCCAAACGCTCCATGGGAGTGCCATATATGCCTACATTGACCTCCCAAACCACCCCAATGGATCGGCATATATGGCAGTCCCATGGAGTCTATGGGGAATCATTTAGGTCCATTTGCCTAACTTCTATCAAGTCGGTCCACTTACGCGCCTCCTTCGTCTGTGACTTCCCTGACATTCCTGGCAGCAGGAGTCTGGTCATGTCTGGTCAGTGAGTGACACTTCAAAAGCATCAGGTCCTAGTCACTTCGATAGGGAGAACTTCTGCAGTTCTCGACCACCCCTTTTGGCCCGTTATAATATAACTTATATGTACCTGCAAGGTCAAAAACAAACTGACAAACATGTCAAGTGCACAGCCACCGGCTTGAGCAGAGGTCAGGGAAGCAGGAGGCTTTAGGACCCTGTGTGTGGACTCTCAATGCCAGATCTATGAGGCTCGAAGGGCTGTTTGGACAGCGTAGTGACAACATTGGATGTTGGGCATGGAACATTGGGTGAAATGACTCGTAGGTTTCCGAGGCCCTCCATGCAACGTCATGACAAAATAGACTGATTGACTCGTTAATCATGTGACTGAATGCTACATATGGTCTGAAAGCAATGGACACTAATTAATTAACACTAACTATATAGTTCCTGAGACTGTAGGTGCAAAACAAGTCAAAAGCATGATATGCCCGAAACATCCCTAAACCATGGAAAGCTTGCTCTCCACCATCCAAAAGGACCTGCTCATGATGTCTTTCTCTGATGCGCCCGGTAGAGAGTCCAGCCAGTCATTCCATTTCCGGCTTGCTGTGAAAATGACAACGGTCGTTGCCCTGGTGAACTCACTGTGGACCCAGAAATCAGTTGTCCTTCACTTTCTCGTTCTTCGCCATTCCTGCCAGCTCAGCCTCCTCTGTCGCAGCCTGCATCGCCAGCAGCAGCAATCGAAGTGGCAAAGTGAGCCAAGGGATGTTGGCAAAGACGAAGCCAAACCAGAAATAAATAAGCTGGTTCCTTGCACATGCACTCAAACAGCCCACAAAACCAACAAAAACACGCACCACCACGACAACGACAGGACCTCCAAGTCACACCCACTTCTTTCTTCATGAGTGTAACTACCGAGTTGCCCGAGCTCTACCACGACGACTTCGTTGAACTTTTGGAAGCTTCTGACGCAATCAAAAGGCCCTCCCTGCTCGAAGACCCCCCTGGCAATCACACAAACTCTTGCTCATTTTTGTTTTTTGTTCATGTGCTTTTATTGCGCCACACGTGTCACTGTATGTCACCGTCATCCATCACTCGGCTTGATCCAGGCATCTCCGTGGGTGGCCAAATGAGCCCTTTGCCACACCAGTGTGGTGCCTCCGTGCCTCCCAAAGGCTCCAGCGTGGGCACGTTGCGACAGCCGCTCATGAAGGCCTCCGAGAGCACGAAGACCACTGTTCCTTGCCGGAAAAACACACATAGAACATCGTAGAACATGAACCCGGAACCCTTTACGGAGTTGCAAGCAGTCGTCTTCAAGGGATCCACTTGCGCAGTTCTTGTAAGCTTTGGGGGTGGGGGTCAAAACAGTCAGGCAAAGGGTGGAAATAGAACCTTTGTTAATGTGAACGATTAGATCATCCCTTTGCATCCCCTGGTTTGGGGCCTTTAGCATGGACCCACTTTCACATAACCAAACGGGCTGGGCCGACCCAGTTGGATAAACCATCAAGCTGTACAAAGAAACGGAAGAGTGACCAATTTAACATCTCCGACATGTAGAAGCCCTTCCAGGTTGACTTGAGGGGTTTCGGCAGATGGACAAACAAATCTGGATAACCACGTCAGATCTTCAAGGAGTCCAAGGAAGTGGATCGGGCCTCCGTGATGCAACATGTGTCCAAACAAAGCCTTTCGCGAAGCTAAGTGCCTTGGAATTTCTCCAGGTCCAGCCTCCATGCATCTTACTTGTCTGTCGCGCCGGTGCACTTGCTTTTTTGTTTCGGTTGAAGTTTTTTAATTGAGATTGTGAACAACAAAGGCGCCCCTCCCATACTGTTCAATTGGCATTTATAAATACAAACGATTTGAAATGACTTGAAATAACAACTTCTTTCCCTTCACCCCTCAAAGTATCCAAAGATGTGAAAGCTGCAAAGGCAAATTTCCAGCGCGTGCCTTGAGGCTTTGCCTTGACGAATGGCTCGGAAGGTCAAAACACAAAGGGGCATCATCACGAAGAGCTCCACAAAAAGCACACTGCAGGCTCCTGAAGGAACAAATCAACATGTGCAAGAATCATGCACCCCTCCTGGATCCTCCTGGTGCTCATGGAGAAGTCATAATCAAAACAAGCATTCCTTTTGAGTGTGTGCGACATGATCCATTCCTAAAGGATTCCTCTTGAAGGGATTTACCAGAAAAAGAAGAGGGAAAGCAACTGAATCTTGTCTATCAAACATCGCTGAACCACCGGGAGATCTCCTGGATCCCTGGCATGCACACGCCGGTCCAGCAATGGGTAGAGCCGCCCCAGGATGCCAGCAAGACCCAAGGCGCCAGCCATGCCATCGCAAAAGAAGTGGAAGAAAACACCGTTTAGGAGGTACCTTTGCGGATGCACATTGGCTGGGAATAGGACAGGTCTAAGTGACACCCATGTTCTGGGTTCGGTGGCTTCAATCAAACTTTAAGTTTGTTGGTGGGGTCTTACGAGGTACCTTGGGTAGCTGAAGTATACAGAAGTACCTGAAAACCTGATTATTGACCCACTCATTATATAGATCATCAAACTCAACAGAATCATGAATAACAGGAATACATTCAACCGGTTGGGTTGGTGGGGTTTGCTTTCCTTTGCTCAATAAACCTGATCCACGAAACACTTGTGGAATTGCTTCGCAGTTTCACAATAATATAGCCAACAAAGCTTTGCGCTCCATTCACATTTCCTGCTGGATAGGTCAGACTGACCATACCCTCCATACCTTCATCACCCATGGCCATCATCCAACTCCGTCCCGTGATTCTTGCAATATCTTGAACATTCTTGAACATATTGAACCATCTTATCTGCGAGTTGTGAACCCCCTCAGTTTCACCCGGATCTTCGCTCCAGGCCCAGTCACCAGGATGCTTTCCGCCGCTCCCACGGCTCCAGCGAGACCTGTTTTCCTCCAAAGCTGCCCCAGCTGTAAGCTGCTGCCCAAAGGGCCAGGAAGGCTAAGGTGCCTGGATCTGTGAAGAGCTCGATGATCCCATCCAGCTGGGCTTCCTCCGCTGGGCTGGACTCCACATGGGACGAACCATGGAGTCCATTCGGGTCCTTGTGACAGTCTAGGACGACCCATCAAATGGTTTCAGGGCTGACGACGGCTCGTACTCAGCCGAATGATTTTTTGGGTACACCTAGTGGCTTGCTCACAAGGAGGCTAAAACAAGGACCACTTGAAAGACGACATGCGGATTCAAAGGACAAAACACAAATGAACTCATGACAATTAAAATGACTCTCATGACTCATTGACATCTCATGACACACGGTTTTCAGCATCTCCAAACTGAATCTTGTAATTGGAAAAACTAATCCATGTCTACGACAAACTCTTCCCAACGAGTGTTGCTGGTCCTGATAGGCCTTGAAGACCACAATGCCAAGCGTTTGGAGCACGAAAAGCAACGTAGGATCTAGCAATCCCACCAGCTGCATGATGCACAGCAGGGGGTTCCCCGTGCTTTGAACTCCTCTGTATATTTCTGAAATGATAGCAGCCCCATAAATGACAGGGAGAAAAACCGTGGAGTAGCTATGAGGTCATGAAGCTGGAGTTACCAGTTGATCAATCTTGTTTCCCAAAGAAATGCATAGGGGCTCCAGCTGGTGCAAGATGTCTTCCATCAGCAGGGGACAATGCATGGTCAAGCCTTAACATTTGCATTGTCTTTGTTCACTACATGAATGGTCCTTCTCGCACAGCTACGGCTTTGGCCCACTGCTGTCTGCTGAACCTTTTGAGCCCGGCCCACTGCTGTTTCTGCGAAAGCTCACCCTCATCACAGCATCATCGAGCACACACACACACAGCTTCGACAACACGAGGATCAACAGCTGGCCTTCCCTATCCATTGTCATGAGGAAGCATTTGCATCTGGGAGTGGGTTGAAGAAGACCCTCAGCATACCTCAGCCCATGCTTGGATTGAATCAGCATTTGTTTATGACTGTGGATGGTTGCTGTGGCGTTTCAAGAACTTTAATATCGAGACACGAAGCAAACAAAAAGCGAGATTAGCTCCTGGGAGGGACCAGAACAACTAAAATGTGTGGAGGTAGGATCTTCCAACAATTCTTTGTCTCCAACAATCAGTCCCAGTGCCCAGTGACTCAGTGACCAGCCGCTTTAGCCTACCAACAAGTTTTGGGGGACCACCCATGTTTTGTAGCCATATGTAGCCATAGCAAGTTCAGGCTGCAAACCGCTCATGGTGATCTGATTAGACACTTCGGTGATCGCCAAGCCACTGGCTCACTGGTCCCAGCACATCAGGCGAAGGCACTGGTCCAGCTCACCGTCCGGGTTCCTTCGGACCGACGATCTTCCTCCAGCGTCTTAGAAAGGGACAGCGTAGCGCACATCCTCCCGCGGCAACACCTGATGACACTGGCATTCAATTGTTCAAACACACAGCACAGGTGTTGACATGCACCGGTCAGTGTTGACACATGCGCAGAAAGGCGCCTCTTTGTCAAGGTATGACATCAACTTCAGAAGAACCTCGTCGTCCTTGTCAGCTGCGAAAGTAGGCCTTGGCTGCGCAGTTGATCCACACGCGGCCCGAAATGAGACGAAGAAAAGGGATCTTCGGCCGCGGGTATCACAAGGGGAAGTGGGCATCGTGGTCTGCAAGTGTGGTTGGTACGGGTGAAACATGTTGTAGTGAAGAATCCGCAAGGTTCCTGATAGTGGTATGGAAAAAACAGGAAGCAAACGACACAAAGCGGCATTGGTTGCTCTCAAAGTCCCAACGCTCCGCACCCTGCGACCGCCAAGAAAGCACACAAGGGTCGGTGGCTTCTTAAGAGTGCTGCTATGGCACGATACACTTCATGCAAACATCACCAGTGTAATAATAGACTATGATGGTATTTATGCATAGATGCACTACTACAAACAATTGCATAACCATTCAAAACCTCAGACCAACCCTTGGCCCTTGAGGTTGTTCCTACAAACAACTGATACCCAGCCGGAAGACCATTTTGGCCCAGTGCAGCCGTAGAAGCACGATGATGGCATTGCCACGGTTGAAGTAGCAGTTTGCCACCGTGTCCTGCGAGCAAGGCTTCTTAAAGAAATGCAGCAAAAGAAGAACAGGGAACCCTGAGTTCGTTCCTCCCGTCTAAAGGATGGATGGAATAAATGCACACGAACAACTTGTCTTGGAAGGCAAATTTATTCTTGTTACTGATCTAGAGGTAAATCATGCACAGTCCTTGGATTGCAAAGATTAGCATGTGATAGCATGTGATCCAGCCCGAGTTTTCGGGAAAAGTCCTGATGGCCTAATGGCCTCAGAAATCAGCAAACAGTAGCAACGATGAGGTAAATTTGGAATGGCCAGCGGTGGTAAGGCCGCACAGGTTGCGGATTCTGATTCTACAAAAACCTAACACACTCCCTGGAACGAACATGGAAGTGGCCATCCCGTGGCCGTCCCGCCCCCCTGGAAGACCCATTTGGCGTCTCGGTCCTCCACGATGACGCAGCTCTCGCGGTGAAATCCCCGTGCGCGCCTTGATTGGGGAACCATCTGGTGTCATACGGTCTCCTGAAAGGTCTCCAAATGTTTTGACCGTGTCATGAGTCATGATGTGCCATGACTAACTCCAACAAAAGCTCTTGGTTATGTCCCCGGATCCCTCTATGTGAGAATCATCCTTCTCCAACCCAGCCCCCAAACCCTATAGGACTGGCCACGTATCCAGAACGGAGGGCCGTTCTGGACTGGCAATGACATCACTGGTTCATCATCACAATGGCAAGCCTGGGTACAGTGACACACGGGTGATCTTGAACATAACAAATAAGAACACTATCTTGCTTCATCTGCACCACTCCACTTTTCACCCACAGCCCCACATCATCCCCCTGCCCTCAACCATTCTGCCATTGCCACACAAAGTGGGGTTCTTCCTCCAGAGCACCTCCGAACGACCCCCTGCCTGGTGCTGGAACGCCAAAGTTTCTTCAGCTTTTTGGAGATCCTTAGGAGCTACGGAGCTCCGCCACGGCGGCCACGGCGAGAAGGATCGGATCGGACCCGACGGAACGGATCGGATCGGTTGGATGCCTCTTTGTGTGCCTTTCGCTGCCTTGTGAATCAAACATCCAAAAAAAACACAAGTTGTAAGAACACAAGCTGCAGACTGGAGTGCCTGACTGAGGGGGAATTGGAAGGAGTGAACACGCAGTTTGGCGAGCTCGGCGCGGGGGACTCTGTTGGCTGCAAGGGCGGGTGGTCTTTGTGGGCTATCACCAAGGAGCAACTCAAAAACTCAAGCAATAAGATTGAACAACAAGTCCATCGCGTGTTTTGGAATCAAACAACTTCTCTTCCAGTCCAGGAAAGGACATGTCACAACATATTGACAATGAAACTTGGTCTGTTCGTTTTGGTCCCCCTTCTGGTCCGACCTCCGGCCACCCAAACGGCCGTTGCAGCCTGAAATGGCTTAGCCTGCTTCAAGCTGACCGAATCTATGCCACAAGCCTTCAAACTCATATACTACTATACAAACACTGACTATACTGACCATGTATGTAGATTATAACAGGTCCAAAACCCAACAACCTCGTTCTATTATAGACCTTCGGGGCTCTATCTTTGTCACCGGTATCCATCAAAGCCGCGGTCTTGAGGTCCTGATTCTTTTTAGCTTTTTGGGGGATCACATCTCTTGTGGCCGACCATGGAGGCACCTGTGTCTCGATCCATTCAGGAAGGCAGCCATCCTTTTTCTTCTAAGCCGGTCCAGGTAGTCTAGAATCGCTTTCCTGAGGCGTCTAGAATTGTTTCTCCCTAGTGGAACTGAGAACTCCCTCAGCCATCACGTCCGCCAAACAATGCATCCTTCTCACCAGCCTACCAGCTTTGCCAAAAAACATGTTAGCAACGAACAGGTTTGAAGCCCACAGGCCTGATGGCCTTGCACGATGGTGAAAAGCTTGATCATCAAACATACCGCTGGAGGATGCTGGAGGTGTCTCTCCATGAGCAACCCCTCACATGTCCTGGTAGGGAACGTAGAAGGGGTGATGCATAAAGACCCCTAATGCTTTAACCTCTAAGGTGCTATTGTTGGACGCCCCTTAGAAGGGCCTCCTAGGAACACCCACACCGCATGGGACCTAATGATCTCTTCATTGTCATCCCTGAGGTGCCAGTGACTTCTCGGGGAGTCTCAGCCTGATGCCTCGCAGCTTTTTTTTTTCCAACGCGGCGAGTACTGAAAGGCTCCAAGGCCTACCGTAGATGGTCGTACCGAAAGCAAAAACAGTTCAAAGTGTAAAACCTTAGATTCTATACAATGTAAATCTCATCATCAAGTCCTAAACTGAAGGATTACATGGATGAATTACATGCTCTCATAGATCTCATTTGTATCATTTGCTTTCTCCCGGTGCAACCTAACAAGGCATTCGATCACCAGCTCATGGCGCTGGCCGCTGCGTCTGGCTCATCCTGCGAAGGTGGCTCCGTTGTAGCCGATGTTTTGCCTTTCCAGGTCGAAGAAGCTCACGTAGATGCCTGACGTCGCCGACTGACGTGTCGTCGCCGAGAGTCGGCTTAGCAAAGAAGTGAGAACAACACACATGGACTTTACAATGATGTTGTGGTACAATTGAGATAGATCAGTATTAAAACTTTAAAGGTTCGATGGATCATTTACAAAGCTTTACACATTCTTGCACTGTTTGAACAGAACTTGCACGTGGAAGATTTTGACGATTTCAAAGTCCAGCAGGCTGGAAAACACATTGAGATGGAGCTTTGGAAGCTACAGAATAACAGGAGCTCAGCTCTCTCAGCTCTATGAATCACGTGCAATTACTTAATTCCGTCTAGAAGATCCAAACAAACACCTCCTCACTCGCCATCTGCAAATGCACAAAAGAGAAACACCGCTCAGTGGGGAGCACTGTGACTTGCGACATCGAGAGTCGGTTGGGCGCAACATCGAAGTCCGCCAAAAGCGCGGAGATCTCTTTGGTCAGCGCGCCGTTGTTCTCCTGTCGAGCTGAGCTAATCTTAGGAAATGAATTATGAGGGAAAGGGAGGGGGAACCGTAAATTTCCACTCAAAGGAAAAGCGTCGGTGATGGGTCGTGTTTGAACCCCACGGTCGGGGCAACAGTGGAACCCATCGGTCAGGAAGGGATGGGCAGGCAGAGATGCTGAGGGCAGAATCGCCCAAAGCCTGCAGCTGCCAAAGTAGTGAGACTAGTCAGGTACTGGCTGGAAAATTAAATTTGTCAAATATCAGTGAACAAACACAAACGGGCAATATGGGCAATGGATCAATGTTGTGGAGTTGCTGTGCCCCCACTGTACAAGAAGCAGCAACAAACTTAACTTGTTGAACAATGGCTCCATTTGGACAATCAACAGTGTGCGTAAAGTCATTGATTGTTGACCTGGAATGGTCTGGCAACTGGCCCGCAGCTAGACCCACAGACCCAGAAGTAGCCACTCCTTGTTGATGGAGCCCAAAGAAATGACCTTGCACAAGGCGCACGGCGCCTCACAGGGTTCTGCACGGGGCGCACACCGTTTTTGCGGCGCTTGGCAAGAAACCTTGGCGAAAAGAGTCTTAGGCCTTCACAATCTTCACAACGATGCATAGGCTTCGACTCATTTGGCAAGTGAGATCTAAAAACCCACAATTTTGTTCAGGAATTTGACACCTTGATCCAACATCACCATAGTTCCAAGGTCCGCTTCGTCCGCTTCCGCCATGCCCAGCCTCGCTGCCACCCCAAATCATGTCCTGCCCATCCTGCACCAAGACTGCCACATAGCTCTCAGGCTTCCCCAGGCAGTTTGCCACTGCCTTGGATGCAGCCTGGAGAGCGGACAATGCCGATGGGGACACACAAATAGGTATTAGTTAAAGCTTGAACGTGGCAAAAGGTCGCAGCAACATGCACCATGTGTTACATTGAAATTCATAACTGACTTTGTTCATTTCCAAGCTCTTCTTGCAAATGCATGTAATCAATGCAGGCTCCCCATTCAATGCAGGCCTTCGAGGGCCCAAATTGCTGTGCAAGTGAACCTATATCAAACATTCTCCAATGTCATTATAGCTAATTTCACCTTAAACTTAAACAAGCTGCGCTTCCAAAGCCTAAAGCCAAGACCACGCCTTCATAAACTCCATCTTCTTGTCTCCCAACTTCACGTTGGTCTGCACGAGCAGCGAGGGATCCGTCGCGCCCTCCTCGATGCACCCGAACGGCGCCGCCGCGCTCGCCGCGTCCGTGGCACAGCGCGCCGAGGGCGCCCCGGCGCCCAGGAGCTTCCCGCGGGTGACGAAAAGAACAGCAGCCATGGTGGCCAAGCCCGCCTTCACCTGGATCAGCATCTGGATCAAGTGGGTTGATTTTGACTTCACTTTGATTGCAAAACATCATGCAGGGCGTCAGCGACGACCTTATTTAATACTAAATCCCCCTCTTATGCATTTTAATATTGATGCCTGTCTGGAATCTCGTTTTCCCAGTTTTCTACGTACCTATGATGCCACAGCACGACACATGTACAAGAGATCGCACTCCCCCTACCTCGTTCAGTGGGGCCACGACGTTTTGGGGAACAAATGCGGCCACCTCCAAGCTATTCTTTATGTAGGTAAAATGTACGCGGATGCTCACATGGATGTCACAAACGTATCAGGTATGGCCAAAGATTGCTTGTTCTGATTGCTCATGTTACCCAAATCATGTGATGCATATATATAATGGTCTATTATTGAATAATATCCAAGTTGGTCACCCTGCTAAATCCAGGTCTTCGATCAAGCCACTAGGCATGGCCCAGCTCCTCGGCTTCGGCCATGCGCCACTGTGCGCGCTAGGCCCGTGGGCAGCGGACTGCGCAAACTGCCCGGGGCCACCCAGGCGGTCCTGGGCTTCCAAAGTCCTATAGCTTTTAGTTGACTTGGTCCCAGGAGGTCGCCTGCTTAGTTGACAATGTTTTGCTTGCAGCTGCCATTGGTTTAGTCAAAAGCCGACTTGACAATAAACTTAACAAGCCAAAGAATCCACTTGCAATCGTTTAAGATTCTTAGAATTGAGTGCGCGTGGGGGAATGAGGACAGAACAATTTCAGGCTTGCAGTAATTGATCTTAGTTGCCCTAGCAACTATTCGGCAGAACCTTCCAGTCCCATCTCTGGAGTGCCAAATCACAGTTTCAGAAAGTTTGTCCAATCTCTCCATTAATATTGTGACAAAAATCTTGGTTACTAATTAGCCCAAAATGGGACATGAACAGCTTATATAACCCCCACGAAGTCCTGCACCCTTGACCGGTCATGAGCCACCGTCGATGCATCTAAAATAAGTTTGACGATTAGGCTTCTAGAAGCGATGCTGCGAAAACTGTAAAGCGGACCAGGAAGGACTTGAACCTCGAAACTCTTGCGCTGACCTTACCACAATGGCAAAGAGAGCCGACACCTCCTCCAGTGAAGGCCTCTCCAAGCGATCGTTTCTTTCTCCAACAGGGTGACCACCCGGTACCTCAATCTGCCGAATGGCGCGCCCAACCCCAGCAAGGCCACCAGCCGGCCGAACTGGCGAGGCATCACTCGCGGGCGCCAATGAAGGGGCGCTGCCGTGGCGGAGGCGTGCGATGGAGCCCAAATGGCTGAGTGCCACGGCGCTCAAAGCAAGCCAGCCTGGATGCATTTTCCTCGTTCAATCCACCTGGCTCAAGCCTGGAGGGTGAAGGGTCCCTGCATAGCATGTCTTTCATGAAATCCATGAACATCATGTGCACAACAAATTGATCAGCTCCATGCACCTCCCCGACCTCCCCCAACCAACAAGAAAACCAAACCAAGCGACCCAATCTCTTGCCCTTCCCGATCTCGCTGTCGCTCGCTGCAGTGCTGCTGGGACCTGAGTCCGTCTCCTAGGAATCAACGACTCGTCCTTCCAAAACACTGACATCATGAATGTGTTTCGGTAGGCATATGGGATGATCCATGGTGTCGCCCGGACAAATGATTGGTGAGGGTCATGTCCTCATTGTCTTTCCACGTGAAGCACCAGTCAGGCAAACTACTCCACATCAACTGCGCAACATGTGCGCCTTGGAAAACTGTTGACAACCACTGGCCAGTGGCATACATATAGGTCTGCCCCAATCCATTTCTGTTGAATTGAATTAGTGTCAGCATGCCTCGGTATGCAATATGCTCAATATATTCATATAAGAACGAAAGAACAGTGTTCGTTCTACCTACATGTCTCTACCATAAGGGCAACCTCCCCAAAATGCAAAACAATAAAGCATTCAAGAGTTCAGGTCGTTGCCAGGATAGTTCTCGGCCCACTCAACCCTCCAAGATCTCAAACATTGACAAGTCGCCAAAAGAAACACCAATCACGATGCTTTCCCAAGACCTGCAGCATCTTGCGGTGTTTCTGCCAATATGATTGCAGAATCATGCAGCCATGGCCTGTCGTCCAATGCAAACCAATCAATAGTCTACGCAATGGCTCATGTCCCCAGTTGATCCTAAGAAACAGTCCCGGTGGCCAATCACGCAACTGGACCCGACCTGTTTTGCTCTTTATGTATATATATATATATATCATAATTATATATATATATATTCCGAGATCTTGGGTTTTGTTCAACCTTCATTCAGTGATTCAGCCTCATACAAACTCTAGACTGTAGACACATGTTTTTGTAAATTATCAGTGGCCGTTTCCTGCCCTCGTGACATCAAGAAAGAGCACAGCTGGATTTCTGGAGACCCGCCAGATGAGGGGCTGGATGAGCATGCACACACGCCACCTTCATATAAATATAATCATGGAAGTAGAAGATGAAACCCTCCAGCTCCCCTTTCTTTCTTCTATACAGAGGGTTCTGCTAAGAGAAAGGGGCAATTCCTGGCACGTGGTCATGATAATATGACTTTTAGCGCTTTTCAGTATAGGCAACATACGTGCTTCCACTTCACAGGCTCCAGCACTTCATGCCAGCATTAAAAAAAAACTTTAGAGAAAACATAGCTCTGGGACAAATAGCCATGGAATTGAAGGTCTTTAAGTCAAGTGCTGCTTCTGACCAACATGAGGCCGGCTCAGGCAATAGTGGAACGATACCATGACCCGCAGACCCCCTCGGTTTGGAGCCTCGTCGACCACCAAGTGGCACCAGCTTGCATCAGAGGTTGTCCAAAGGCCCACACCATCAAAGCCTCAGGAGGACGACGTTGACCCGGACCACCGCAACGTTGCTTCTCCGCAGTGCTTGGGTGGTTGGCTACCTGTGGGAGAATAAATGCATGTTCTAGCATACTGCTACGAAGAACGGATGCCGCCATGAGCCTGTGGAATCCTCGCCGCCATAGAGGCTAAAGGCGTTAAAGAATGGACAAAAGTCGCGCTAAACACTCCCATGCAACAAAAAACCATAGATTGTAATCAGTTATGGTTTGATCGGCTTATGAAATGGATGGGTCTGCATTTGTCCATCGCCGCAGGTGGCACGACCTGGAAGGCAAGCAGCATCAAAGCACACTCAATAGAGTTACCACTGCAAAAAGGTTAAACAATGGCTTTAATATGGACTACTTGTAGCAATGGCGACTGGAGCTCTAGGGTGAACCCAGCGATTGCCACAATGCCCGATACAGGACTGCCAGTTGCTTCATCGGTTCCTTCCAAGGGGCGTTCGAAGCAAAAGTCCAGGAACTCATCGAGATGTGGCCGTGCGTAGATCGCCGTGTGCTCCTCTCTCGATCACCGTGCTGGAGACGGGTGTACTGCTTAGTGTTCCTGTACCTGCTTGAGATGGAGGAGTCCATGACATCGTTAAACGATTTGTGCAAAACAAGAACCGTACTGCATCGGTACTGCTTACAAATAAGGATCCTTGAAAAGCCTGAGTTCACAAACGAGGGTCTTAGTGGGGAGCCCTGTTGAAGAGTGCCGGAGGCTGGAGCCCTAGACTGAAGTCCCAACAAAAATAAAGTTTATTTAGGCAGTCAAAAACAGTTGAGGAGCGTCCTCAGTATTTTTTGACTTCTGCATGGACAACAAGAAACGAGAAACCCAAAATGGTAGCAGCGACCCAAACCAACATAAACAAACTGTTGAAGACCATCAAATGTCTCAGTCTCCACCTCACTTTATGATGTAACACGCTGGCAACCAATAACTGCAGCACTCTTGGGGCAAGCACTGGGTGCAGGAGCAATCTGCAAACAGGCTGCACCACCCAAAAGTCTCTACACAAGTAGGGTGGTTCTTCTCTATATATATGTAGCAGTGCCGACCTGTACTACAACTACAACAGCAGCCTCCTTGCAAAGTATCTGTTTCGTTCTTTTCTCTGGTCCATCATCAAGAACTCATTATGCAGTGGTTCTGGAAATGTTTCCCCTGCTCACAATCAGTCTCCTTGCAAACCATTGGCGTGGCCTGGGCTGTGCTACCACAGCACACAGGCTAAATGCTCACTACCAGTGCTAACAAGCTTCTGGATAATCACATCCAATGCAGCTTCATAGCTCATATCCCACGAAGGGCCGCGCACCCGAATATTCTTTCCATCCGTTTCTTCTGCAAGCCCTGTGGAAGAAACCCACTGCGACCCTTGAAATCTAAAAATATGCAGCGCGTTTGGGGAGTCCAAAGCCAAGTACAACATATCAAATTTTGCGAAGTTGATCCCATGAAATTGGCACCGCCAACTGTTCTCAGACCACGCCAGCCTCGCGGACTTACATTCGACGCGCAATCCATCTCTGTGCCAATCACATGGGGAGTTGGAAGCTGTTGAAGTGAAATGAGAGGAGCAAGAGTGACAAAGCAAATCTACTTCCTGCACCACACGCTGGAACAGTAATCCACGCGCAGAGGGAGTCAAGTAGTTCAATGGGTGTTGTGCAAAAGCTTTGCGCTGGATTCTTAACGAAGCTGTTGAGGTATGCCATTGCAATGCTTCAAGCACCAACTCGTCCGACGTCTTGAGGCTGGCGACACAGTGACCTGACTTCAGGAGCTTCTTCAGAACTACATCCTCCGCCTCTCTCAAAGTCGAATTTCTGGGACCGCAAACGGACAATTGCAGTCCCTTACTCACAGTTCTCACGCCAGTTGTTGACAAACGACTCTTGCAATCATGTGTGAAGAGATTCAGTTGAGACGGACTGTAGAGAACCAACACCAGGTCATCCAACAAGGATGGCTTAATTCCGCTAAGCAGCACTCTCCACCGCCTGCCTGAGTCGCACCACCGGAGTTGAGCTGACTTGCACTGAACCCTTTTGCCATCACAAAGCCAATCGTATTCAGCAGATGTTATCCCACGTTGCTTACCATCACATTGCTCGCCGGGTACTGGATCTTGCACCATGGAATCTGGATAAAGTCTCGAGAATACTTTGCGAGCCACTGTTTCAAGTACTTGTCCCCGCAGTGATGGAGTAATGTCGTTGAGCCGACAAGCGGCATAAGCAGCTGTAGTGACGGAGACCTTTCCCACATCTCTGGCAGCATCCAATGAAGACAAGGGAAATGCACTGACATGACGCAGTGCTCCTTGTGTCAGCCAAACAGCTGCGTGCTGGCTGCATATGTTTTTGGCCAGGTGACACAAAACGGCCATTGGCGACTTCGGTCTTCTGGCCAAACTGCCCTTGAGCCTGGAGTCCTCGTCACGTCCTGAGTGGAGTGTTCTGGAAGTCCCTGGCCGAAAGCAAAACCTGGCTTTTACAGGTGCCAACGAAAGCTCCTTCACAAATTGAACCCTTTATTCTCGGCATCCATGTTTCGGCATTTCGGCATCTTTTCGTTGGACCCATAGCCGCAACATCTTTAGGTGATACAAAAAGTGGCAGTGTAGCCATAGCAACTTCGAACCCGTCATTGATAATCTCAAATAGGAATTCGGAATTCTCTGTCCAAAGCTTCACCAGTCCTCGTGCACATATGTCGCCGGCGAGCTCCCATCACAAAAAGGCGTGGAATCGATCAACGTGCCGTCAATATCCAGCACGATGCCTAACACTTGAGGTCAATTGCAGAAACCACTGCAGCACCATCACAGCGATTGAAATAATATCACAGTTCAGCAATAATCTGTTTGAGACTTTATGCCGGCCTCTCATGAGTAAAATATCCCTAAATAAGGCTAAGCAATCTCATGTTGCACAAACACCTAAGCTAAATAAAGCTTGATTGTTGTCATGATTCTTGAACTGTGTCCTGTTTTCTTAGTTATATACAGTAATATATTTGTTGTGTCCCAAGTCTTTTATTGTGTGACGTGCTGATTCAGCAGGAAATGCGTGCGTCTTCCTTTGTTTTTTGAAGAAGCACTTCCGGGCCGACCTGCATGTCACCATACCCAAAAAATTGTGTGCCCTAAATAAAGCTAACACATGTTCCTTTATATGTATAGCTTATTTAGCTTTTGGGTGTTTCATGTCATTTAATTACAGCACTATGTTCATTTCATAACTTTAAATCACCAAATTCCAAAACCTTCTGTCTTCTTTTTCAAAATCCTTTCATCAAAAACAATCCACAACTGCCAAAGATCAATGTGAAAAGGGTACCCCAAATGCTGCACCCCTAAATTTAACTCCCCAATACTAACACCCTTTCATCCCCATTCCATAAAATCTCCCTCCCCAATATTTATCTCGTTTCATGTCCCTTCTGGGAAAATGTATCTCCTCAATACTAACCTCATCTAACCCCCTTTCTCTCCATTCCAGGAAACCTACGTCTCCACAATGCCCGCTGATTAGGTCTACTTATATAAAGGTGCTGAATGGGGGGGCCCTGTTGTTTACCAAAATGGCTGATGGGACATCTCAAAGTTGGATAGTGTTTGCAAACAAAATGATCAATTACCATAGAGCCATGGACGTCTCTATCGACAGTTTTGAGGAATCCGGAATCACAAAAGTGTACAAAGGTGTGAGTGAGATGCACATAGACGTTAAGGTTGTGGTCAAAAGGAATCTGCAGTATATGTTTCAACAAGTTCAATCGAGAAAAACCACCCACCCAAACCTCACCTTTGGAGTGCACATCACTCAGCATGGCCAGGATGGTCTTCTCTGTGCAGCCACATCCAAAGACCTGCAAGTGACTGGTAAGCAAACGGCTTTCATGTAACTGTGGATGAAAACCCTGGAGCTGCTGATATTCTACAAATGAAAATGCAAAAAATGACGGACACGTTCATACACTTTCGATCTAGGGGATATTTATCTGCAAGGGTCACACCACCAGGATTCTTGGGTCTTTTCTTCTAATGACTCACACATGCGATGATGGGTCAGTCCACCGTGGTCAAGCCCTGGGTGCAGCAAATTTTAGCGCACCTATAGGGAGCTTCTCAGCATTTAAAAAGGCCGTAGTTGGCAGGTGAGGTCAATTACCCCCTTACTTACGTTCTAAAATTACCAGTAGGGTTGTCACAAAAGCACCTCAATCCATGTCAAACGATAAATTGCCACACCTGGGATACTGAACTGGTCTACAGAAAAGCAGTAGACTAGAAAACCTTCACACCAAGCATCACCAAGCATGTATGTATGTGTGAGAAAAACAACATATATATATATATATTATAGATATACAGGCACTGCCCTTCTGTGACCCTTTGAGATCACTCCACCCCTCTCAGTGACATCTCCAACCGATCCCCAAAAAATATAGCCTGTAATGCTTTTTGAACCTCCGCAGGCTGAAGTCCGTAGTAGGGATGCGTGCGGATATGATGCTTCCTGAGCCCAAAGCCGAACGATGCCTGAGAGTTTCTCCGAAACCGTGTTTTTGTCTACCTTTATAAAAGGTGCAGGTAGCGGTGCCGCTCAAATACGAGAGGCATGTGCACTTGGTTTTAGTTTTTATACATTGTGTTAAATCCATTTTTTACGCAACTGCAGTTCTTGAGAAACATGTGGGAAGATTTCATTCCACTTGGCACCTATTGTCACATCAATTGTTAAAAAAAAACACAAGTTTATCTTGGCCCAAGTCTCCGCAAGTGCTCGGGCGCTGCGGAGGCCAAGTCCATGTCATCGAGCCTGGGTCATGCACCATGTAGTGTAATATTCGACACCCTCCTCATCCTGCCATATCAGCTAAATATCTCGCTTTGCAGCATCCCTACTAGTAGCTAGGGAAAGTTAAGACTTGTCTTGCCTCAGCCTCCTTCTGACATGGTGTCAAACTGAAGATCCAAACAGTTTGGAAGCTTTTGCAGTCGGCTCCGCTTGCAAGTAACTCGACTTTTAAGCCCCAGCTTGCCAAGGTATTCTGCACCTTACCACCCGAGTCACGTGATCCACTGCTGGACTCCAAACCTGGGAGCAAAGATGAGTGGTTTCTCCCAGTCTCCGCTCAAGCAAACAAATCGCAATCAATGCGCAAATGTCAAAACAATCTTCACTGTTTGATCTATATTGAAACTATATGGAAACTATGGGAGGGTGGAGGAGGCGTCTTCTTCTGCCAATGATGCCGGTGTTGGAACGATGTTGGAATCCGCCACCTTCCAGCGGATACAATTTCCACAGGGTATTCTTTTATCTCTATATCGGACTCAGTGTCAATGGAAGGGTGTCTCTTCAAAACTCATCAAACCACATCCCACACACCATGTCCTCTCACAATGCCTGGCACTGGTCAGCAAGGCCTGCCTATAATTGCTCGATTCTTCCTGTAGCCACGGACGCTAGCCCTGTTTGAGAGGAACAACTGCTCCTAGGTGAGGTGAGGTTTGGAAAAATCATTGCATCTAAACTCCTCAAATCCAAATCACAGAGTTTGACGAGTTCCAACCTCCAAATCCCCTTCTCGTCAACACCCCAGCCCGGTGCCCCCCCGCCCGACGGGCTCGCCCCCCGTCTTTTCGGCGCCGGAGCGGCTCCGCCCGGAAGGCGCTCAGCCAGCGCCGGATCTCCGTGCCGCGCCGCGCGGCGGCCGTGGGACCGGCGGTGCGGCCCAGCTCGCAGGTCTGACCTCGGGGACCGAGGCGAACGGCGAACGGCGAGCTGGGTTGAGGGAGGTGGGAGGGAGAGAGGGTATGGGAGGTGGGAGAGATCTTACTTTTAAGGTGGGAGGGCTGGATTTGTTTTTAGTGTGATGGCGTGGTTTGATGAGTTTTGGTATAGTTAGGTTTTTCTCTCAGGTGACTAACCCATGCATGCGTAATTGTTTGCAGGACTGAAACAGCAGCGTCTGGACATGCCCTTCCTTGTTGATGAATGTTTTGGATGCGATAGTGTATGATAGTATGGATATGAGTGGGTATGCAAGAAACCCATGTACGTGGTTTCCAAACAAATCAACAGTCCCCAAGAAGATTCCGAGAAACGAACAAAAAACTGCCGTGTAGAGGCTAGTACAAGCTCCGTGTGTTGTTTCCGCTGTCCTGGAGAGCAGGAGGGTTTCATAAGTTCATACCTTTGTTGGAAATTCCTTTCACATTTCAAGAAGGATGATCCCCCATCTCCATCATTGATTGTGGGAAGGCTGCCATGCAACATGTGCTGTCCAAGAGGCCCAAAAAGCGCCACCGTGGCAAACCGACATCGGCACACACCCGCTTCAGATCCTGTGGAGTCTTGCTCAGATTGTTTTGGGGGACGCGTGGCTTTTGGGGGGACTATGAAGAGTGAGGCTTTTTCATGTAAGGAAACAGCACAACAAAATCAAACTGGCACTACGAAGAAGCCTATAGTACTATAGGGCCTAGGAAATGATGTCCAGGGCATTTATATGCCCCAAGGTTCAAAGGCCGATTGTTTTAATAGACGTTTTGAGTAGTCCGGTTTCTGAAATGTGCTTTCGGTTCACGGTGGTTCACGCATGCCTCCCGCGGCACCCACAAACACTGTCACTGGGGCCACTTTTCACTATCGGCCACGGGCAAGTCTTGATGCCACGGCTTTGTTCCACCTGAGCTGGTTCATCGCTTTCACTCTCTATTTTGTATTTTCCACATGTACTCAGAAGTGTTGTAACTAATCCAGTCCAGGCACTCTTTCAGCTTGAACTTGGTTGACCAAATCCTTGGAAGCTATTATGCATGCTTTATTAATGGAACTGACTCAGAATCGAATCTTGCAGGGTTGAGTGAGCTTCATTTTTCCTGCTTTGCTTTTCTCCACTCCAGCCAAGACATGAACAAACACAAAAGATCAAAGCACCTATAAAATAAAATGCAAAGGATCCGAAGGCGGCCGCAACGGACAATCCATCGCGTCCGGCGAAGTGGGTGGGCTTTCAGGAAAGTACCTCAAGCGTATATAGAATCGATCTTTTCATCAGCTAAGTCCCCAAAAGTGTGTGCGCTGCAAAGGGGTTGGGCGCATCACAGTACACTGTTTTTCCATGTTTTTCCAAGTGGCTTTTTGTCCAGTTCATTGAATCCTCATCCGCAAAGCAGTGCCAGTGTCTTGGGTTCACTCCTGAGATCAGATCTACACGGAGCATGAGTTATGGACACTAGCTTCAAACAATAGGACGAAGCTGTCCGATACTTCAGCCATCCCAGATTGCACATCGAAATGCAGAGCAAGACTCGTCCGTCCCGGACTGATTTCAGAAGATGCCATAAGCCCTAGGCCAGTAGCTAGCTGGCTGTCTTCCAGTCAGATTGGATGTTTCAAGAATAGTGGTAATAGCGTACCAAGGCCAAGATACATGGATTTTTGGTCGGATGTACCACTGCTGGTAATTTCGCCTGCCAGACCAATCAGCGCACATACGCGGTTTTAGTTTTGAAGGTTAAGCGCTTGCATGACGCAACATGCATGTGCGTGTGGCTATATGTCAGCAGCTTCTGTAGGAAACCAACATACCTGGGACAACATGTTGAAGGGTTGCAAACCGGTGCAGGTGATGTAGAGATCGATCGAATTAAAATGCTTGCAAAATGCGCATCGTGCTGCAAAGCCTGATGGAAATGCCGGCTAACTGCAGCCACAAGCGAATGAAGCTTTGTCCATCCCTGAAGATTTGGTTGGACTCGGCTTCTGTCCTGGCAGACAGATCGGCACTTGCAAACCGGGCCTACATGCATGCATGTGTAACGGTTTTTTAAATAGATAACGTACAATTGACAAACAACATTGCAAAAGATCAGCGAAGCTGCAAGGGATCGTATTGATCACTGGCTTTCACCCAACCAAAAATGTCAGTCACTTCACAGGAAACATGAATGATTGTGAATTTTCACTGCGGGTACTATTCCACTTGAGGCTTAGGTGATTCTGATGGCATTTATATTAGTGCAGACTAGGGTCAAATAGCGACCAGCAGCTTCCATGCCGACCACCATGCGAGTCAAATGAAGCCTCATTGCCCGGGAGCTTGGCAAGGGAACTGCATCGCGAACTTTGTTGAATTAGCTCGATCTATCGCACGACAACAGTGCTAGGTCTGCCATTGTAAAGCACACACACATGTGCACACCTGCGTGCTCTTGAGCTCTTTCATAAATTGATAATATCCAAGTGCAACATGCATAGCATAGAAATAAGTTGAGTATATGCTGCAGTAAGCGATGACATCTTGATCGATACATGGAAATTTCGAAATATAGCCCAGCTGTCCTTCGAAGTGCGGCTGGCCATGATTGATGGCACGGCGATGCAACGCGCTATAAATTATAGTAGCTAGATTTTAATTGGTCGAACTGCAAGATGAATGCTGGCAAAAGGCATTGCGAGAGCAATCACAGGTGTCCTGTCATCCTTCGAAGCAAAAGGCTCACACAGTGAAGCCACAGTATGAGCAAGCCACTGCATCACAACCCGGCCATTCCATGCTTTGCAAAGCATCAGGATGTCGCCATTCTGGTGGTACACCTCAGTTGGAAGTCATGCATAATATATATAACATACAAACATTGCCCCTGCTTCAACGACATGACGTCGACAGGACATGATGGGGCTGTTAGCAAGCCTTGTCCCCTAGCTAAGCCACAGCAGCATGTCAACAGCTTGGCTATATGCTTCCCGCAACATCATATCACCAGCATCTGCCGAGTGGCAAGCTTCTCTTGGAAGGCTGGCTGGCTGCAGCTTACTCTCGTAGCATGGCACCACTGCTTGAAGTCAAGGTAGGCCCGATGAAGGCGGACCCTCTTGGGATCTGAGTTGGGATCTCCCCAAAGACCACTTTCGAGAAGGAGATGCCTGACTTCAGCCAGGTTGTGCAGAAATACCTAACAGCTTGCCACCCATATTGCATATAAGCACCAACAGTGGCCCATTCTTCAACAAACGCAAATATCGCTCAGTTACATCGTCCCACCATTCGCCACATAGAGCACCCCAAGATGCAGCACATGCATTAAGCACCATTTAATGGTGGAGGGATGGAAGCCAGGAATCGCCACCAAAGGGCCTGCCATCGATGAATGGAGTTTTCTGGTCATGGGCAACTCATTCCCTTTCGTGTTCAAAAGCTAAAGCTTGAGATGACCCTGGGCATGCTTTCGTGAAAAACTCATGATTCATGAGGACAGGGCTACACCTGAAGCAACAAAAACATTGATGAATGGCGCGCCATGTGTCAAATGTTCCGCGGAGGGGCTCGCTGTGCCAAAAAAGTTACTAGTGTAAACTCCTCGTGGTGCGGATTCTCAATGTTCCAAAACAGCTCATGCCAGTCATCTGAAATTCCCTTGGCAGTGCATTGATGGCACATCTCTTTGCCATTCCAATGGGTCCGGTGGAACTTCCAGACTTTCTTGTGCCATTGCCAATCGCCTCTGTGCTCGCTCACGAAGAAGCGATCATGGCCACTTGTCAGGGGCCGGCCGGCCTTCTCCGCAGCTGGGCCAACCAAGTCCTCGCCATTGGGACCTTTTTCTGGAAAACGACCGTGAAAAGCGTGTGTGCAACTCCATGCCACTCTACGGAGGAAGGCATTCAGGGTACCACTTGTCATTCTTTCCTCCTCAATTGCAAAGACTAGGTACCTGCTGTATCTGACCGATGGTGGTTTCCATAGCACCACATTGCAGAAGAAGGCAAGGATGTTGATCGAAATCCCATACTTGTTGGTGACCTTTGCTGAGTCACCGTACAACCCGATGGGATAGATGAGCTCTGAATCGATGCTGTGTGCCCAGGGTTCATTGTGAGACTTGGCCCATCTCCAGTACTTAATTCTCTCACTGGCAGGCACATGTAGTTTCTGCGCTCCGACCAAGAAGGATAGAGTGTCATGCACGTCCAAAATCGGCCACGCTTCAAGTCTAACTATTGTGGCCCCATTGCAGTCCTTGTATTTCACAGGGACGTCCACGGAGTTCACCTCCTAGGTTTCTGAGTCTGAGAATTGGCATTTGGCTTTTGAGCATGTGCATTCCATTCCAAGATGAGATGAGAGGTTTTGTGAGCCAGCATGGCACATTTCGCATGGATCGATGCATGTGCTATATTAAAGGAAGCGCACAGCAGTGCAATATATATATAATAATATAATATATATATCATAATCTATAACTCAGATCTAGGAAGAACACACAATGGACATGCATGCATGCACACATGTTTTTATTACATAAAGCAAATAGGCCGGCTTTTGACACAAAATAATCCAAGGTTCAGGTCCATCATCCAGGAGCCGCCACCAATCTCTAGAGAAGTTGCACTTGGACAATGAACCCAGTTTGCGGGTCAAAGGGTGCAAGGGGAGATGGTGACCACAGTCCTTAGAGCATGCGCTCCTTGCCTGCAGCCCCTTCCAAGAGAACCGGTCATGACAGTTGGCAGCAAACCACAACTGCAATGCAGTACACAAAAATTGTCGTTGAATGAAAACAGGTTCCAAATTCCTGCGAGTCCGTCACCTCGAGCATATGGTCCGTCATCGTCCATAGCAAAAGATTAATCCAAGTGGTGGTTCTTAACAGGTGGATTACACAGTGCAGAGTTCATGCATGGTTTCATGATCGATCTAGATGATAACGTTCTCACTGTTTACATGACATGTCGATTGTTGCGGAAGGGGGGTCCAAGTCTCGTGGTTTTACTTGTTGGTGATTACTTGATCGATTGACGGTGCCCGAATCCCCTGCCCAAAGCTCCAGCTTGCTGGCTGAGGCTCTTCAACGTGGGCTCTCACATGTCGCATTGCTTTGCCAACGGTGCTCCCCTGAGCTATGAAAGACGACGTCTGATCGAAGTGAATTTCGGGTTGGCTCTCTAAATATCTCGTTGGGCTGTGCATGCATGAAGGAGTTGTTTTCATGCATGGTTGCTCTAGCAGCAGTAAAGGAATAACCCATGGTGCCAAAATAGTTCACGGGTATTTGGTGCCATTCTCCTACCCATATTAAACTCTATATAGCCAGGAAGCTCCGCTGGAAACATCGTTGATGGAAGTGGCCAGGACGTTTGAGACATCATGATCAGGTGAACCTGCATCGCCCAAACCTGCGTGGGTCAGTCCCATCTTTATAGAATACGACCACTACAGCGCCAAAGTTGACGGGACTTGTGCAGGGTCAACAGGGCTGGCGCTGTGCAATAGAAACTAATTTGCAAGATAGAAAGCACACGCATGCAGTTGCAGTTTTGACTGGTTGTTGCCAGAACA